TTCTTCTATCTCTGAATTAAGAACCTCTACACCAGACTCTAGTTCCCCGACTTTTAAATGTACCTCCCTATAATCAGATATCATTTTGAAATGATTAAGTATATCTCCCTCCACCTTTATTCAATGTACAGGAGCCTCCATTATTGTCAGCTTATTCAAAGCCTTTTCCTGCATGCCCACTAGCATATCGATTTTACCGGCTTTGTCGGTGGTGTTGCCAGCAACAGGCTCAGGCTCTACTGAAGCTGTAGGGCAATTGCCTTCTTTCTTTTATCATTTCTTAAGTTCATAATTTCCGTAGTCCCTCTTGAATGTATTAGATCTTTATAACATCAATTAAACATAGAGTAGCTCAATTTACACTATAGTTCATCACCTTGAGCAGAAATTTAACAACTCGTTTAGAGCACGTCCACTTGCTTCACGGGCATGTGCATAACTCCCTTTTAGAAGAATCTTATAATACCTTTATAAAATAATGTACTATATATTTGTATGAATATAAAGCGAAACAAAATACACAAATAATACAGACTTATTCAGCTACTGTACATTTAATTCAAACTGGCTAACTTGACCCATCACCTTCATTTTTATTGGTCATTTCCCACCGAAAGCTTTTTCCCTCAAAAATCTATACCTACCGATTAGTAACCACTAACTGTGCTGTAATTGGTTGAGTACCTGTAGCAGGCGTAGGAGGAACGATTTAGGCTAAGCCAAAACTAGTCCTGGCCGGACCAATTTATCCCGGGAGGACTAATTTTGGCCTTCCAAAATCAGTCCCCGGACAAAGTTTAGCGGCCAAAATCGGTCCCCCGGACCGATTTTGGCATGACAGGCCCACACCAAGCCAACACATGTCTGTCACAGTCTCAGAGTGCCATTTTTGGCTATCTAGATGTTGATAGTGGCTCGAAAAAGTCAATGGAAAACTATCGTCCAGTATCTCTGCTGCCTACTTTATCAAAATTATTTGAACGAATTGTTCATGATGCCGTTTACAATCATTTAAGTTCAGTTATTACTCCGGTTCAGCACGGGTTCATCCCGGGAAGATCATGTCAGACCAACCTTGCATTGCTTCTTTCTACAGCATACAAGGCCTTGAATAGTAAGAAGCAATGTGATGTGATCTACACTGATTTTTCAAGGGCATTTGACTCGGTCCCCCATAATTTTCTTATTTTTAAGATTTCAAAGTTTGGGATATCGGGTAACCTTTTGAAGTGGTTTTCTGATTACTTGACCGATAGACATCAGAGGGTGGTCATAAGTGGAACTTGCTCCAAGTGGCTTCCAGTACTTTCTGGAGTTCCGCAGGGTTCAATTCTTGGCCCGTTGCTTTTTAATTTATATATCAATGATCTCCCTTCTATTTTTAAGTTTTCTCAATCACTTTTGTTTGCTGACGACCTAAAACTTTTAAAAATAATATCCTCACTTCAAGATGCTCAATTATTACAAGATGATTTGAAGTCACTTACGAAATGGTCGGAGTCATGGAAGCTTTCCTTAAAAATTAGTAAATGTAAATCTTTGTGATTCTCACTTAAAAGAAAACCTATTTTATTTACATATGAGTTGAATAGTCAGGCACTAGATTCTGTTACTTTTCATAAAGATTTAGGTGTTTTAATTGATAATAAGTTAAATTTTTGTTTACATGTTAATTTTGTTGTGTCAAAATCAAACAAGATGCTTGGTTTATTTTGGAGGAATTGCAGGTTTATGAAAAATGGCAAGACATTAGTATCTCTTTACCGTTCAATTGTGCACCCCCATTTGGAATATTGTTCTGTTATTTTTAGTTCAGTTTCTTTTACACAAGCTCAGCGTATTTCTAATGTTCAGAATAAGTTTATTAGGTTTCTTAGTCATACTTGTCCCAATTATAATGTCTCTCTTATGTCTCTTGAAAATTGTAGAATTATTTTTGGCATGGTATTTTTATATAAAATAATTGTCCTCTTGTTTCTATGTTCAGTTTAAACATCCCGACTCGTACCCGCAGTAAGTGTTTACTTCATGTTCCTTACGGTCGTGTTGATTGCACAGGGATGTAATTGTGCAGGGCGGAGCCGGGCGGGGCCGCCCAGCCTAAAAGTCTACCGCCCAGTCTAAAGCAAAATTTAATGCCTTCCGCCCAGCGTCAAACGTACCTATCCGCCCATCCCGAATTCTTACTTTTTTCGCGAGATATCACATATTTCTAGCCTCAAACCTCATGCAAGCAGCCTAGCAAATAAAACATCGGAAAACCAACCAAGTGGAACTGCCAGGCTTTAGCGCTGATTGGACGCTCACGTTCTACTTGACTGAACAGTAAACTGTGTGATCAGCTGGAAATTGACGCTCCTATCAGTCACGTGATCTGTATGCGGTATTGAGTTATTGTTTTGAACGCTCGAGTTAATACACTGTAAAGATGGCCGAAGCGAGTGTAAATCGCTGAATGTCTGTTGTAAACGACATCAGAATTGCAGTGTCTGTATTTTCAGAAGTGAAATTTCTTTTACCAAATCACTGACAAATGTTCCAACATTTATGTCGGAGAGGTTAAGCCAATACATCAAAGGGAGTAAAATATAGCGATGGTAAAACTTGGACATTTTTTAAAGATAAGTAGGCCTAGTCTATGGGGATTGTGAATGATTCCCGTACGCTGTGCGCTACGCGACCCGTGGCAATCACTGGTCGAAAGGCTAAGAATAAAGCATAAAATCACAGCTTACAGCAAACATTTTTTTAATGTACAGAGTCAAAGTGTTACATGAATGCCAGTTATATACTACAGGCAAATTTTTGAATTAGTTTTCATATATATATTCTCAAATATATTTCTTAACCAGAGAGCATCTGTTCATGGTTACTGTACAATTTCGCTATTCCCGCATCCAATGTTTTGATTTTATACCGCATACAGATTACGTGACTACCCTGGCAGCAGCAAGCTTAAGCGCAAAGTGTCAATTCGCGTGTTAGCGGTGCTATGGTTAAACAAAAGCGTTTTCGGCTTTGAAAAGTGCTTTAGCCTTTGTAGTACCGCGCAACGGTTATCTTCTCGCGGTGCCTTTTGTAGATTATTTTCCCGAGTTGTCAGTGGATGTGTCAGTGGATGATTGTCAGTTGTTTTAGTTTTGGTTGTTTAAATAGACAACTGTAATCCCTGGTTCCCTCATTTCATGATTTAGTCTTTAAAATGTCATCCAAGAAAGCAAAGCAATCTCGACAAAGAAAAAAATATTTTTTCATATTTTTCGAAAAACGGTAAGTAAACGCACCTTATTAATAATTATTAAATAGATATTTATTATTATTTACGGATGTAGTTACTTTTAAAAAGCAATCTTCAAAATTATACTGTAAGTTAAGCCTACATTCAAAAGTTAGACATGATAACGTGTCACTTGTGTATTCCCGGCGCCGTGAGTGATGCATTTAGTAGTAGGGGATATCAATACATTTGAAAGATTTCAATCGTGTTTCGTACCGTGAATTAAACCGATGATTAACAACTATTTCCCACGCTACGACTATTTTTAACTCTCTGGGTTTTCCCATGTAGTGCGTCAGACCTCCAGAACACGCAGACGCAGATAAACAAATACATACAATTATACTGTAAACACTTTATTAACTCCTGCTAATTCATATTTGACCGACCAAAGATATGAACATTATTATCAGTATTGTTTCTTTATAATAAATAAACAACAACACTTTTTAAAACGTTGTATTTATTTTTTTATTATTAACTTCTTTATTCAATACTGCATAAATAAAAAATTCACAATCGAAAACTACGTGCTTCGCAAGAAAACGTCTGGTGAATGGAGTCCAATCTCGAGCTACCGCCGCACAGTGGGCCAGAATTGTTTCAAAGTGTGCCAAAAGTCAATACTCATAAGAAAATTATGATTATGTTAATGTTAAGACTGTTTAAGGGGTTTTCAAACCTGCTGAATTCAATTAAACTATTTTTAAATATGTATGACGTCATCAAATTACTGTTTTTTGATTGGATGAGTAAAATATTCATTGTAATACCTAGGCAGATTCATATTACCTTGGTTATTAGAACATATAAGGGTTTTCTAACCTGTAGATTTCAACGCAAGCATATTTAAATATCTATGACGTCATTACAGTATTTTTTTTATTGGACGACGTAAAATTTAAGATCTAGACAGAA